AAAGAGTGTAAACAGCGACTTGTAATTTTTGATACGCTTTTAGGCAGTTACAGTTCAATTACTGCACAACTGTTAACGCTTTTCGTTAATCGAGGAACATAGTGGACGTTATCAACCTGACGTGATACAGCAAATAAATCGTTTAACGGCTGACAACGATCGACGTGTGAAAAAATCAGTTTCTAATACAGCTCGTGTTAAATATCGATCAGGTTCGATTACTACCATAAAACTAAGTGAAATAAACAAAAACTTTGAAATCTGTTCTGATTATATACAGAGTGATAGCTCAGTTTCGAGTAAAGTTGGAAAAAGTAGTAATTTTCCAGGTAAATTTGCGAGAAAAATAGTGAAACTAGTGAAAGACGAGACTGGCGTTTTTCCATCGAGAGAGTCGTGAATGATAAAAGTCATTTATGAATATAAATTCACTTTCGTTTCGTGAGTAAAAGACTTCTCCCAGGGAGAGCTCGTCAAACGTTGACTTGCACGCGCGTACTTCGTATTCTGTTCGGGATATTTCATTAAAGTAGAGCGCACAAACAGAGGGATACCAAGGCGCGATATTCACGTATTCATAGTGTTGCATAAGAAGTCGAGTAATGTCCCCGTGTGCCGTGCATTTTTTCCCCAAAAATTTCCCCTGTAATTTTCCTCCGCGAAGATTTGATATAACACTGGTAACGCTGCGCATTCTTCGGGAATTTTGGTATCGGGAAAAATAATTCCGATAGAATTTTTCTATTTTTTTTTTTTTTTTTCAGTTTCTACCGTCGCGTTTTAAATTCGGTACTGTATTTTTGACGAATTTTATTAGGAAGCTAGCTGCGAGGAATAATAATTGGATGAAGAACGTGGATGAAATTAGAAATTCGCCATTTTCTACGAGCAATTTCCTTGTATGATCAAGTTTTCAATTGTAACTACATCATCATCAGTCAGGGAAATCTGGAATGCGCCGTAAATTCCAGGCGATAAGCGTTCGGTTTGCTCGAACGGCACCGATAACACCCACGATCCATCGATTTTCGTCGTTTCTCTCTAAATAATCCGTTGTCTGTGGTATAAATCAATATAATTTCATGAATATTCCGTCATGAACGTGTGTCCGACGTGTAATCATTTCCAATCCACGTCAGTCCGTGTTAGTGTGAACACGTATGTCGTCATTTCATTGGTTAATCCTTCTATATCCTGTCCTAAAAGCCAAATTACATTATGAGAGAGTTCTAAGCCGACATTCCTTCCTCGACGATTCCAAATATCGATCCTCCGGATTCGAAACATTCGATAATTCTAGCCGTGGATGATTTATCGTTCCGTACGTGTGTTCCATTCGTGTCCCTTTTTATTTCGTCTCGACTTGAGAAAAGAGTTCTTTTGTGTAACCAGGAAGAGAGTGGATAGCAATAGTGATGCAAAGATGAGTGCCGAAATTTTAGGGATTACTGGTGAAACGAGAGTTCTTTCCTGTAACAAGGAAAAGGCTGGTTCGATAATTAGATAATCGACTTAATAATCACTTCTGTGATATTTGACACGATAGAACGTTGCATTAGGGCAATTCTTAAATAGATGGAGAGTGAATAACAACAGTGATGCAAAAATGAGGTATCGAAATGTTAGGAATTTCTGGTGAAATGAGAGTTCTTCTGTGTAACAAGGAAAAGGCTGATTTGACAATTACACAATCGATTTAACCCTTTGCAATCGAGTGGCGACTGAGAAGTGACATTAAATAATCGTCACTTGGTGAATAATTAACGAACGGGCCTCTATAAATTTCTCCACCACAGTGAAATAGAGAGTACATTGAATATTTAAATAAAATAGTATACTTTATTTCTACGTTAGTTTGAAAAAATTTCAAAGATCCGTTTTGTAACCTTTTCTACAGCAAAATTACCTCCGAGTGCAAAGGGTTAATAAGTAAATGTTGTTCAAATTATGTCGTGTTTTATGTCGTTTTCATCAGAAAAATCTCATCAATATGTTAAGAAAAATTTCGGGATAAAAGAACGTAAAATTAAAAAAGTTGGTATTTATTAATTAAAAGTTGGTTGCCTCGACTCACGTTTCATGCTTATCTTTTATTCGCTGTCCCTGTCTACGTTCGGCATACTACAAAGGCGGGCGCGAGGCTCGAAAACGTAGTCCCTGACTCTACGAGTGTCAGGTTTAGCTTCCTTGCGGTCTGACAGTTGTGGAGAATATACTGTACTGCGGTGTGGTATTGAACGCGGAGGAAATCGCACGTTCTTAATCTCATAGACGGGACATTTAAACAAAATTTTTCCAGAAGGTTTCTAATCATGGCTTACCTACGTGAAAAATTCACTTCTGGAAAGTCGCTGATGGGTGATTTTCACTCGGCTGGTAGTTTTAGTGTTAAATGTTAATTAAATTATGGATGGTGTTATTTGAGGCTTCCGGGTGTAAGCCGTGTCCAAGAGAATTTACATTCCGATAATGATTATATGCACTGATAATGATTAATTAAATTGTTTTTTTTTTTTTTTGACTTACTCTCGATGTGTCCCAATTTGGAACGAACTAACTTAATCCCTTAACCTAAGAGTTTTTCATGACTATGCATCTAAGCGTCAGTCATTTAGTGTTTTAGTGCTGTATCGGGTGACGGAAGTTTATCTGCTGTAGATTAATTACATTTAGTAACTCCCAGTGTTACAAATTCAAACGACAGTTAGGATTACGATGAATTTTTCTTATTGGTGTGATTACTTTTGTCGTACCTTGACGAGAATCTCTGTCGCGAGTCTGACTCGTTGTTATAGGTTAAGGGACGAAGAAAGTAAGAACGATAGCTGTGGTATGAAACGTTAGAACGATCTTAGCTGGACTGTTTTATCACGCGAAACGAGTCACTCTGTAGAAAATCGGAATTTTCTTTGGAACGGTTTTCTCTAACTTACTCTCGATATATTTCAATTTGACGTAAACTAATTCGCGAAAGCAAGAACGAAAGCTGTCGTATGAGACATTAGAACGACCTCACCTAAATTTTCTCATCACCTGAAGCGAGACACTCGGTAGAAAAAGTAGAAACTTCTTCGGAAAAATCGAATACGAATCGCGGGATACGCAATAAAATATGGAAGGACAGGCGTGTATATGAAACGCGAGTTAGAGAGGAGGAGGCTGTCCTCCTCGTTAGCTCGTTGGTCGCGCGATCTAATTAAAATTACTTGGCGATAGTTAGCCACGATAGCATCGGTCTATTTACCGAGCGGCAGAGTTAACTCGATAATTTGTGTTTTCGGCTGAGTGCCGATCGTTAAAGCATCTGGTCCGGGGGAAGAGAACTGTTTCGACGATGAATGGAATCGAGCCGGAGCATACTGAATCTCAATGCGCGCCGCGGCGCGCGCGCGCGCGCACGCTTCTATCGTCTCGCACTTGTTGCAAACGCGTCGCACCCCAACCAGAAAGATAGGATCGACCCACTTCTATAACTCCGGCTTTCTGATATACGGCTATACACCCGCCGACGCGCTCCAAACATCCGTAAGGGATTTATGATAAAGGGCGGCGAGGAGGAGGCGGAGGAGGAGAGCCTGTCGCCATTAAACGGCGTTAAATCTTCGATCGAGTATCATCACCGTGTCTCTCTTCCTCTACGATACACCGGGAACGGCGAAAAGTTTAAAGGACAGCTGTTTCCTGATGATTTAACTTAAGGTTTGCATAATTAACGATAAGAATTTTGCACAGTGAATTTTGGTTTTTATGGGACGAGTAATTATGGGATTGGAAGCTGACAATTATCGAATGGGTGCTTTATTTTTTTTCCCGTGGATTGGAAAGAATTCCTATGGATTGCAATTAGCAGTTTCCTTTTGCCGATTCTGAATTAACTATGCTGAGGTGTTGACAGCAACTTAAATTTCTTTCGAGTAATTCCTTTCGTCAACGTAACCAGTAATTTTCTTTGCCATGGTGCCCTAATAATTTTTTACGTAGAATGAACAGAGGAATCGATTTGTGAGACAAAAAATTCGCATTTCCGTTTAAAGAAACGATGCATAGTTGCACTTAAAAAAAATCTAAGGGCCTACAAATGTAGTGCTCTTCGAGCTATTCATCTTTCTCCTTTGGAATTCTTTCGTAAATGCATTAATAACGGAGTTCTGACCTGAAACAATTGCGTGGATCAACCTGTACATATATACCACTTGAGTATATTCGTAGAGAAGTAACAAATTCTTTAAGAAACAAATTGGGTTAATCAAAAAGCTACAAGTACATTAAACACCTTAGTAACCACACAACTAAACATCCCCATAGGTTGTAAACTGTATTACGCATCCCTGTGGACGGTATAAATCGTCCTCCAAATAGATTGCCCAGAGATGTACGTATCAATCTCCAAGGAACACATTGAATATCTAACCGGAATAATTATCATCGCAAGAATTAAAGACGATTTTTCGCTATTGTGAAAAAATTTGTTGGCCAGGGGGAGATCCGATAAAAGGCTCCCTCTCACCTTTTTATCGAGGGACCTTGGAAAGCCCCTCTTTTCCGGTATCGTTCGCCACGAGCAGCCCCGTGATACGTATAACGTATATATATATGTATACATACGTACATATACATACATACATACACGTATGCCTGATAGCCGCGTAAATTGCAGCCGCGTATCACGCCGCCGTACGTTCGATGGTTCGACGGTCTACTTTACGCTCGACGAGCGAAACAGAAATCGATTTCTCGCCCACGGTGTACCTATCCGCGCGCCACGCTTCGAGATAGAACAAGTCCAAAAGTCCGTGTGTCCCCTTACGATTTTCCCATCACCGACCATCCCTACGTATCTCCTTGTTTCCCCATTTTCCTAGCCGCTGTAAGTACCAACCATCTCGTTATTTCCCTTCGAGCTGAACTATGGGTGTTTCTACACCTCTTCGTTGGTCAAACAACCATCGTTGCACTGCGATTTTAACCCTTTTACAATTATTCTCACCATTTCTCCGCACCTTTGGAACGTTCTTTGTCTCTTTTGGTACTTTTTCTAGAGCTTGATTGGGTTTCTGTGTCTTCGCATCGAGTAAGGGATCTTCGTTACGATCTTGGGAGTTCATAAGTACTCTCATTTTTTCGCAGTGATTTTATTCTTCACTATCGTTAGAAGTCTCTTAGTTCTCTATTTTTTATTTAGTATATTTTACGGGGGGTTCTTTTTATAATTTTTTTTTTATACCTTGATCGTGTTTCTACGTTTCCTTTGGTCAAGGGACCTTCGTTACGATCTTCGCAGTTCACAAGTACACTCGTCTTTTTTCTACGATTCCATGACTGTGTTTTCTATTTTTTTATTTACTATATTTTATAGTGTTTTTTTCTTCTTCAATATTTTCTTCGATCTCGTCTCTGTGTTTCTATGCCTTCGTTGGTTAAAGCATCTTCCTTACGATCTTCGCAGTTCATAAGTACTCTCATTTTTTTCGTATGATTCCACGTCTCTGCATTTTCTATTTTCTATTTACTATATTGTGGGATTTCGTTGATTACTTTCTACGTATATTAAATTAAAAGTACCCCGCGCGTCGCCGGTGCTGTTCACTAATATTATCTTTATTTGTCACCTCACTCCTCTTCTTTTTCTCCAACACACGCATCCACACACACACACTCGCACACGCCGCGATCGGCTTGACAACCCATGATATTGTTTAAACATAAACAAACGCGCCACGCACGATCGTCTGTCATTCGTTCTTCCTTTCCAGGCCATTCACACCAACTCTCTCCATTTCCTCGTCTCTCCTCACGTTCACTCTTTCATACCAAAAACCCCACAATATTTTACGGTGTTTTTTTCTTCTCAATCATTTTCTTCGATCTCCCCTGTGTTTCTCTGCCTTCGTTGGTTAACACGTTGAATGCCGGACCAATTCTACGCAACTTGTTCACGGCGCCAGGGACACCGTTTTATTGAAATACAACACACCCCAATATGCATAAATAGTATATCAACAGTAGGGCTATTACTTTTAACCGGGTGTTCGAGTACCCATGAGATACCCGGGTAGATGAAAATAACCCGATCGACCTGGGGTATCTCACGAGTACTCGAATATGAGCATAAAGCAGTCGAAATCTCGGTGGCCACTACCGCTGGTGGTTCCCCGGGCAAACAAGTGCGGATCGGTCGCGACAGCGATGCAACGATGCCGACTCGATGCACAATATTGTTTTGGAACCTCTGTCGAAACAGTCGAGGAATACTAGATACATACTCTCAGCTGTCTCATCTCATGAGATACCCGGATAATTTCTATTTACCCGGGTACTTTCTGATTACCCGAGTATTTCACGAGTAACCCGGGTATCTCTTAAGTAACAGCTCTAGTCAACAGTTAGAAATTGTGCAAAATTAAACGCTTTCACTAATCTTGGCGCCGCCGATCACCGATCACCCCCACGGCAATCAACGTGTCAAAGGATCCTCCTTACGATCTTCACAATTCCTAATCGCCATTGGGATTCACAAGTATTCTCACCTTTCTCCTACGATTCCACATACCCTCCTTTCCCATTTCCAATACACCACATTTCCCAGAAAACAACGAAAAGAAGACACTACTCTCTCGATAGCGCTCTCCATCTCATCCTCGGTCAACGGATCCTCGAGAATTCTCAGTCGCCATTGGCGTTCACAATTATTCTCACGATTTTTCCCCTCCCCTTTCCTCCATCCGTCCACTCGCTCTCTCTTCTTCTCACTTAAACAGACCGGGTGTATCAGCGCTAGGTTCACCGTCTCATCTTCCGCCACGATTTATTATATTTTTACAAGTTTCCACCCTATCGGTGTGTTACGCTTCGCTTCGTTCTCCATCGCCGCGGCAGAAGAATTACCGGTTCGGTTCGCGTCGGTTCGGGCCACGTCTTATCGATCTCCTCCCCTTGCTTCGCCGTTCAACCGATGCTGGATGCAGAGGAGGAAGGCCTACGGGCTTGGCTTGCCACGGCTCGGATCGTGGTGGAGCCGGGTTAGGTCGCGATCCTTTTCACGCGGCTTGTTTTTCTCCTTACCCGCGCCGGTTGCATAGGCCCCTCTGTGACCAACGCTGCGATTCCAGGACAAAACGGGCTGGCACGGGATCGCTACTTAAATTATTCCAGTTTTCGTCGTACTTGCGCGTCGAATTCGATACAAAGATTTTGTATCGCGTACGGGACAACGAACCGTTAACCCTTTGACGGTCTGATAAAGTTGTGGACTACAGTGGAACAAATTTGTATCTCAAGTTTTTGGTAATTACGTCGTGTGTGATTGTTATTGGAACAAGGGATACTACTTTTGAACTTTCTTCGTGAGAGTTAGCTCTTTCGAGCTAAACAGTTAGGTGCTTGAAGATTTGGCCGAGTCTCACTCGGGATAAATTGTCGAAATTTCGGGAGAGACGGACCGGGCAAGTATATGGAAGAAAAGACACCGACAGCCACCCTCGATCGCTTTCCGTAAAACAAAAGAATACTGACGCGTTCCACGTATGGCGGGTAATGTAGGGAGTACTTGCGTGGTGCGTCTCTCCCGGAATTACCCTATGCGTGTTATACTCAAAATTGTCTGTCTTAATGTCTTCTTTGACCCTTTAATGCTCGTGTCTTAACACGCGCACAAATGATCCTCCAAAAATTGCAATTTTGTTTAATTTGCTTATTGCGTTATAGTTTCTGTTTTATGGTAAGAATGTAAGTTACAGCATTGTAAATAAACGAGGAACTCGAGCGGTTGAAAATTGAGCGTTTTTGGCACGCGAAGTTGAGGAAAATGTGAGCGTTAAGGGGTTAACCACTTCTTAATGCCAGGTACTCGTCGCTTTAATAACGCGTTAAATGAGAGTTAAGACATTACGCATGCTTCCTATTTAACAACCCTCAGACTTTTAGATTCAAAATTATACTTATACTCGTTCTTATCAATCCTCGTCCATAAACTACGCGAGGAATGTGACTCGTTATTAATTGCGCATTAGGTCAATTTTCATCAATTTCCAATATCTCCTAGAACTTCTGTCTATCTAATTCCAGAGATAGGGGAGAGTCGTGCAGTATCGGCCACTCTAAGTTTTTGTACTACAACTTGAGGTAAAAATGAAATTTCAAAAAAATCATTTACAAATAGAATAGAACTTTTATTTAGGCACGTCTGCAAATATCACAGGCAAACTGATCGATATTTTCTCGATCCGTACACTCCACGTGAGTCCAACTATTGCGCTATGAAAAATAACATTCGTCGTAGGGAACACCAGCATAGGGAACAACGCCTGTACCGAAGAAAAAAGAACGCCGCCGGAATACGTTGCTCAGGGCTACAGTATTCGTTTGGTTCTCCATCATCAGTGCAGTCAACTAATGGTATAAGCGAGATCTAGCTTTGACTCTGCCCTACACCAATTCATTCCTAGCCGAAAATTTCTCCGA